CAATGATGCTGCAACGGGGGAAGTTGTTGAAGATCAAGAGGAACCAGACGATGTGCCTGATGATGATGATCTCCGCCGGGTCATTGTCGATGCAAGGACGCAATGCGAAAGTCAAAAGGAGAAGCTGAAGTTCGATCGCATTTTAGAGGATCACAAAAAAGGGTTGTACCCCAATTGCGAAGATGGCAACACAAAGCTCGGTACCGTACTGGAATTGCTGCAGTGGAAGGTAGAGAATGCTGTGCCTGACAAAGGATTTGAGAAGCTACTGAAAATATTAAAGAACAAGCTTCCAAAGGATAACGAATTGCCCGACAGTACATACGCAACAAAGAAGGTCGTATGCCCTCTAGGATTGGAGGTGCAGAAGATACATGCATGCCCTAATGACTGCATCCTCTACCGCGGTGCGTACAAGGATTTGAACGCATGCCCGGTATGTGGTTTATTGCGGTATAAGATCAGACGAGATGACCCTGGTGATGTTGACGGCGAGCTCCCCAGGAAGAGGGTTCCTGCGAAGGTGATGTGGTATGCTCCTATAATACCACGGTTGAAACGTCTGTTCAGAAACAAAGAGCATGCCAAGTTGATGCGATGACATAGTGAGGACCGTAAGAAAGACGGGAAGTTGAGAGCACCCGCTGACGGGTCGCGGTGGAGAAAAATCGAGAGAAAGTACTGGACTGAGTTTGCAGGTGACCCAAGTAACGTATGGTTTGGTTTAAGCGCGGATGGCATTAATCCTTTCGGGGAGCAAAGCAGCAATCACAACACCTGGCCCGTGACTCTATGTATGTATAACCTTCCTCCTTGGATGTGCATGAAGCGGAAGTTCAATATGATGCCAGTTCTCATCCAAGGCCCTAAGCAACCCGGCAACGACATTGATGTGTACCTAAGGCCATTAGTTGAAGAACTTTTACAACTGTGGAATGGAAACGTTGTACGTATTTGGGATGAGCACAAACAAGATGAATTTAACCTGCGCGCGTTGCTGTTTGTAACCATCAATGATTGGCCCGCTCTCAGTAATCTTTCAGGACAGACAAACAAGGGATACCATGCATGCACACACTATTTAGATGACAATGAAAGTATATACCTAGACAAATGCAGGAAGAATGTGTACCTGGGCCATCGTCGATTTCTTCTAACCAACCATCAATGTCGAAAGAAAGGCAAGCATTTCAAACGTGAGGCAGATCACCGGAAGAAGCCCGCCATGCGTACCGGTGATCACGTACTTGCTATGGTCAATGATTTACACGTAATCTTTGGAAAAGGTCCCGGCAGACTAGCTGTTCCGAATGACGCTGAGGGACACACACCCATGTGGAAGAAGAAATCTATATTTTGGGACCTACCCTACTGGAAAGACCTAGAGGTCCGCTCTTCAATCGACGTGATGCACGTGACGAAGAACCTTTGCGTGAACCTGCTAGGCTTCTTGGGCATATATGGGAAGACAAAAGATACACCTGAGGCACGGGAGGACCTGCAACGCTTGCACGAAAAAGACGGCATGCCTCCGAAGCAGTATGAAGGTCCTGCCAGCTACACTCCTACGAAAGAAGAGAAAGAAATCTTCTTTGAATGCCTGCTCAGTATGAAGGTCCCGACTGGCTTCTCGTCGAATATAAAGGGAATAATAAATATGCTAGAGAAAAGGTTCCAGAACCTAAAGTCTCATGACTGCCACGTGATTATGACACAACTGCTTCCGGTTGCATTGAGGGGGCTTCTATCGGAAAACGTCCGATTAGCCATTGTGAAGCTATGTGCATTCCTCAATGCAATATCTCAGAAGGTGATCGATCCAGAAATCGTACCAAGGCTAAGGAGTGATGTGGTGCAATGTCTTGTCAGTTTCGATCTGGTGTTCCCACCATCCTTCTTCAATATCATGATGCACGTCCTAGTTCATCTAGTCGACGAGATTGTCATTCTGGGGCCCGTATTTCTATACAATATGTTCCCCTTTGAGAGGTTCATGGGAGTCCTAAAGAAATATGTCCGTAACCGTGCTAGGCCAGAAGGAAGCATCTCCATGGGCCATCAAACAGAGGATGTCATTGGGTTTTGTGTTGACTTCATTCCTGACCTTAAGAAGATAGGTCTACCTAAATCGCGGTATGAGGGGAGACTGACTGGAAAAGGCATGCTTGGAGGGGACTCAATAATATGCAGGGACGGATATTCTTGGTCTCAAGCACACTACACAGTTCTACAGAACTCTACCTTGGTGACCCCGTATGTCGATGAACACAAGAACAGTCTGCGCTCCAAACACCCGGAGCAGTGCGACGACTGGATTACATGTGAACACATCAGGACTTTCAGCAGTTGGTTGGAAACACGTCTCAGAGGAGTACCTTGAGTTCTTCAATCAAAAGGCCCTCGATAAATTAACGGTCTTTTGCTACTGCCTGTAAGTACTATTTCTATCATTAAGTCTCTATATATAGCTCAGCTCTTTCATTGCATGTATTTATAATTAATTATCCTCACTATATTATGCAGATTGAAGATCGTCGAGTGCAGAAAACAAGAAATGTATGATATTGGGTTCATTAACACAAATATCATAGATGAATTTCTGGTTACAAAGAACGCCGAAGAGGCCGAGGCCAACTTGCTACAATCGTTGATCAAAAATCAAAACAAAGATTTAATACTCTTTCCTTACAACTTCGACTGAGTGTTACTGTCGTGTGCATATTCGGTTTCCCTTATTACTCGAGCGAGGTTATAGTAATTAATTGATGAGTTATGCATGCGTGCACAGCTTCCACTATGTTCTTCTGGAGATTAAGCTTGAGCAGGGACTAGTAACCGTCTTAGACTCGAGACGAAAAGATCCCGAAACCTATGCGGACATGACTAAAATGCTCAACAAGTAAGTTCAATCGATCATTATCACACCATATCGGCAACTTTTTGTTTATTTCCTGATATCTCAAGTAATAATTATTATTTTCTTTGTCTTACAGGGTTTGGAAACAGTTCACCGCAGAAGCTCCGGGACTGTTGAAGGAGCTGCGATATACATACCCGAAAGTAAGTACTACTAGCTAGCTAGTTGCGCGCATCTCCCGTTGATTCTATAGCTATACTTTCATCAATGCCATTTATAATGCTTCATTATCAGTTTGATTGACCTCTGTTTCTCGTAAAGTGCTCGTGGCAGGAATAAGAGAATGATTACTGTGGATACTACGTGTGCGAGTTCATCTACAACGCGACTAACAAAAATAAGCGGGGCTACTCTAAAAGACAATATGAAGTGCGTAAGCAATAATATTCACAATTTCATTTTATTACACCATCATTTCTGTTGATTTTCATTCATATATATGTATTAACCCCCTTCTTCAAATTAGACGTGGCAGATGCGGAATGAACTCCTACCACAAGATCGCATGAAAGCAATTCAAGAGGAATTGGCGGGATTCTTTCTTGACCACGTCATCAATAAAGTCGGAGAATACCATGTGGAAGTTGATTTCAATTGCTAGGGGATTGTAAGAAATCTTACATATTGTATATGTATGTAGCCAGTAGCGTCAGATAGATAATACGAAAACTTGTTGTTCAACCAATCTCTCGGAGAAGAAGAGGTCGATCGATCACTTCTCTCGGTATGCATGACGAACTTCTGTACTTAATGGCTTCCTTCATTTTCTTACTAGCTAGCGTGTCGAGGGCCTCTCTATGTATAATACGTAGCGTTGATCAAGTACAGACATAAGAGATGCCACCAACCGGGACCAAAGGCCCTCTTGTCTGGGCTCGGTGCATCGGCCACGTGGAGGCCCATCTGTCCCGGTTCGTGTTCGAACCGGGACTAAAGATCTAGGGCATTAGAAACGACCCTTTAGTCCCGGTTCAATAACCGGGACAAAAGGCCCTTACCAATCGGGGCGAATGGGGCTTTTTCTACTAGTATATGCAAATAGGTTACCATGTTTTTAGTAATTGTCATGCTACATCATACATCATAAGTGAGTGTCATGTCATGCTACACATGGGGCCGTTCTCCCGGGAGGATGGATGAGAGGGAACGTTTGCGTTGTTCGATTGGAATGGTCAATGGGAGTGAACCGTGCGCCCACGGGGATTATCACAATCAAGGTTACATGTACCATAGAGTGTTCCCTAAAAACGTTAATAGAAATGTCAGCTTCATAACATTTTTGTTAATTAAATATGAAAATTAAAAAAAAATATAGAAAAACTAGGCAAGGGTACTCATGGTGTTTCGTTCCTACCATTTTCCCCATTGATTTTGATAATAAACAAGTATATTTTGTTTGTATAAAATGTCTTCACTTCAAAAGTTTCCAAACCACAAGGATTTATTTATATCACGACGTTTCAAAAAGTACCTCATGTGGTCCGCTAGATCAAGATCAAACGGTCCGCGTCCTTTCTTGTTCCCGCTTCATCTTCTTCCTTCGGCGCACCCATGACTTGCTCAATATGGCTACGCTGGTGCTCTCTATCCCTTCCGCCTTTAGCTTAAATAAAGCATTCCCTCTAAACGCCTTGGATTATAACGGACACCCACCCTACCATCCCTAATCATAACCACTCACTCGCGTGAGCTTTTCATCTCCTCTCTCACGTTCACCACCGCGCTCTGCAGGTAACCGGCGGTTCTGCCTCAATCCAGACTCGCCTTGATCACTGCTGATGCGGCTGCCGCGCTAGCGGTGATGCTACCTTTAAATACCCATTTCTTTTGGTTATGCAACTTTTTTCGAGGAGTTCTATGATCGATTGTGTGCAACTATGCATACACTTGTAGTGTTAAATTAGACAAGATTATGCATAATCTATTGTCGCCGCTCGCTCAGTCACATCACAGGCTCACAGCACCCCAAGCTCACTGCTCCCTTCGAGTCGAAGGAAAAAAGAAACTCACTCCCCTGCCGACCAAAACCTAACCACCGATCCCCACCCTCTCCACCCTGCCGGCGGCCGAACGGCTGCCCGTCATGTCCTCGCCGGCGCCGCCAATTGCCCCGGCCATGGCCTCGCCGACGCCGCCAGTCGCCGAATGTCCGACACCGTCCTCGCTCCTGGCCCTTCCGGATGTGAACCTGGAGGATATATTCCTCCGCCTGCCCACACCGGCGGCGCTCGCCCGCGCCTCCCTCGCCTGCGCCGCCTTCCGCCGCATCATCACCGAGCGCTCTTTCCTCCGCCGCTTCCGCAAACTCCACCCGCCTCCCCTCCTCGGCATCATCGACGACGAAGGTGTCTTCGTGCCCACCGAGGCGCCCCACCCTTCCGCCCCGCTCTCCCGTGCTCTTGTCCAAGGGGCTGATTTCACCTACTCCTTCGTCCCAAAGCCACTCGGTAAAAATCACACAATCTGGTCTCCCTGCGACGTCCGCGACGGCCGCGTCCTCCTCGAGCACCGCCGGTCTGGAGCTCACACTTTCTTCACAGACCTGGCGGTGTGCGACCCCCTGTCGCGGAGGTACCTGCTGCTCCCACCCATTCCTGAGGATATGACGATCGAGCAAGAGCGCCTCGATGAATTGCGGCATTTCCTCATTCCCATTCGCGAGAATGAAGATGAGACATCGCTCAAGGTGATCTGTCTGGCATATTACAGAAGCAAGTTGGTCACATTCATCTTCTCTTCTGTCACGGGACAATGGTGTATAGCTGCGACTACCAGCTGGAGTTCTTTGGGCGTAGTTGACCCCTTCAGGAGATTGTTCTCCTGTTTTAACTACTTTCGCGGCTGCTTCTACTGGTCCTTGGATTGGGAGCACAAGCTGCTTGTGCTGGACACACACAGGATGGCGTTTTCCACTCTCAGTATTCATCATCCTGCCTACTATATGAAGTTTATAGGTCAGCCTGAACACATCAGATGCATGCCTACTGTTGTCGAGGATAGAAAAGGAGCCCTTGAAGTGTTTAATCTTGTCGGTGATCCTTTTGAATCTACCCCGTTTGATCTCACCGGTGGTCCTTACAATCTTACCCCATTTTACATCTATCATACCTTTCGACAAAAAGGAGAATCTTCCAGTGAATGGCAGCTGTTAAATGTTATGGAGTTGCCTCGCGGATATTGTTATTATACTGTGGGTGCAGCTGAGGGGTTCTTATTCCTTGGAGCTGGAGGGATTGGGAAAACTCAGCCGGATGATTGGGGTGCAGATGTTTTTTCGCTGGAGGTCAAGACTTCTCAACTTAAGAAGGTCTGTAGAGCAACAAACGTCACTGTCTTTTGTTTTCAGTCTTACTTCGGCTTCCCACCATCATTGTCAACACCGAGTCTATGAACTACAAAGCGGTAAGCCTGCTGTCACACTTTTTATTCTGTTGGGGATTCTCTCATGTGAAATGGGAAGTGATAGGCTTAGTATTTATGAATTATGGTGCCTTGCTGTCCTAAGTTGTAATGTAGGAAGTTAATCACTCTATGCTTCTAGAAGTACTTTTCAAACTATGGAAGGTAGTCATGGTTTGTTTCTGTCCTGATTAACATTTCCATGTATCTGTACACGTAAAGAAAATAACTCACGTACTAGGAAAGTCATTTATCCTTGGTACTATTCTGGAATGTCCCACCATTCTATAAGTTTCAGCTATAATATTATCTTTGAAAACAAGAATAAAACTGGACATAATCTGGTAAGAGACATGCAACTGTTTAGTCATGTGTGGCGTTTTGGATACCGGGCTCCAGTGAGCCTGAATTTTCTTTAAAGGAAATGTCTTTTAAATATTATATGAATACATATACTTGTTCTCTATGGATCTGCAAAGTTTTATTAAGTAATACGATAATTTGTAGGATACAAAAAAAAAGACAAACTCCGGACCAAATACAACAAGAAAAAGACCTATGTTGATCTATGTATTCTTCTTGTTTATAAACCACATATAAAGATATATTTTGATGAAATTTGTGTGTACATACCACACACATATATATACACTTTTTTTCAGAATTTTTTGAGGTGCAGAAATAATGTTTTCCATATAAAAATATAAAGGGCACCCATTTTTTGGTGTTTAGTCCCACTTTTATCCGACAATGAGTGCCCATCACCATCAGCTGTGCAAAGTCTACTTAGGCTGTTTTAAAATCTGTCTTGCCTGGGTTTTCCCATCCAGATCCCCTGAGGTAAGCCAATTCATTTTGGTCCTTCCATTTGAGCTCCTCTGGTCAAGTGCTGGACCAAACTGGGTCTAATATTGCTGATCTTGGTGTCCAATTCAGCCTATTGAAGCTAATCTCATCCTTGATTAGAGCCTCTAGTCAATTCACCTTTTCTATAACATTAAGGTGACAACGGCCGCGGCGGCGGTTCTGCTGCTTGTGCTGGACACACACAGGATGGAGTTTTCCATTCTCAGTATTCATCCTGGCTACTAATGTTATAGAAAAGGCAATGTTCAGGATATCGGTAACTTGTAGCTGCTCGGTCGGGTGAGGAGTAGGGATTAATCAGGGAATCAGCCTATTAACTGAATTTATCGGTAACCCATTTATTCGTAGGTTAATTGGGGGCTATATCTATGTATCTTAGCTACAAAGGAACATGCAATGTACTAAATGCCCAAATATGCTATTGTACACAGGTGAATATCACCCTTTGTAAGTCATCAGGATCATACAAGACTCCAAACTCCCACCCTCATATCATCGAATTTCGCTTCAAAGATGGAGCATTTGCAGCACTAGAAGCAGCCACAGATTGCCACATATCAACAAACAGTCAAATACCCCACATTAGACAATAAGCAGCAGCAGCAGAATATAAGAAGCAGTAGTAGTAGCAGCAGCATATAGCACAGAGCAGGAGAAGGAGGGGCGGAGAGTTTGAGAAGACTCGGTGCGGCTGCTGCTTGGAGAGTGGGGTGGCGGCGGCTGCTCCAGCCTCCTCCAACGAGGGTTACTACTACGGGAGGGGAGGGGAGAGCGAGGAAGGAGGGAACAAGCTGTGACCTAAACACCCAGTTTTGGGGTAAAGGAGGGAATGAGCCAAAGTTTTGTGCCCAAATTTCTCTCTCCAGTTAATCGGCCCAGTGGGATAAATCGGCCTTATAGCCGATTAATCGGCCTGACAGCCAGTTAATTCGCTAGACCAGTTAACGCGAAGGATATGCTGTTATCGCATCCGTGACCTATGGAATCAGGATTAACTGGCCTATTAACTTAAATATCGGCTGATATTTTGAACAGTGAGAAAAGGTGAATTGGACACCCAAGACAACACCTTCATGAAGGGGACAACGGCGGCGTCACAGCGGGCGCCCTCTTCGTGAAGGTTTTGTCTTGGGTGGTCGCGGAAGTCCCCGGTGTTGAATGTGATGTTGGACGTTGTACTTGGTCTTTGGATGCTCCCCAGGGTGTGGGCATCCAGGGCTCAATGTATGACATCGCCCGCTTCCTCCAGGCCTTTCTCCTCCGTCCTTCGGCACGGTCGGGTCCGGCATCCCGCTTGCCTTCGGTCTGTGATGGAGTGGTGGCTGCGCGACGGAGGTTCCTTGTGTTGGTCGTGACACGGTCTGCGTGCCTTATGTCCCTTCTCTTTGCCTTTCGTTGCTTCAGTTTGGGCTAGGCGATTCTTTGGGATTTGTTGCCTGTGGTGTGGTGCCCCCTCCCCCTCTCTCTTCTTTGTTGTAACAGTTCTCTCCTACATATCAATGAAATGATACACAATTCTTTGCCTATTAAAAAATGTATCATGAAATATGAAATCTGATTCTTGAACTCAGTTTCCACTCCATTTTCAATGGAAGACTTGAGTTTCTGGTATTGTATTAACTTGAGAGCTGCCGCAAGTCATCAACTTTCTGAAATAGATGTGTGAAGAAATGCATTGGATGTCCTCCATTATAATAGGTGTATATGAAATTCCAACTTCATTGTATGTGCTTTATGCACATCATTAACCAGCAGAGCATATGCATATAAAATGTAGCATTGATATCAAGTTAGTTTTGTGATATTCTATTTCTTTAGGTGGATAGTCAATGGTCTAAGATTCTTGATGATTGCCCAGCCTATTAATTACACACATCCTCGAATTTTGCTTATATCCTTATTTCGTAATAATATTTTGATGACTAACTCCTAGTATTTGACTACATGAAACCTGTAAAGCATCTTTGTAGTTGTCAACGCTTGAACAAATTCTTGCACAAATAATGGATGGAGACTAGTCTAGATACCTATGTGGTCATAATATTACTTGTTACTGAGCTAAAATCTTAGTTCCTCTATATTTTACTCCGTCTTAGGCATTTATTTCTACCCAATGCCGTGATTCCAAGTTATTAGTCGTGGGCTTGATTTATTGGCTTGGTATGTTGTGGAGGAGACTTCTAATTTTGGCTTCACAAGTTTGAAATCTCATAGTGTGGCTGCTTAAAAATTGGCTATGTCTAGTACATATCTTTGGAAAGATATAGGAGGGGAAATGTCTTGGGCTTAGGCTTATGGTACAATTTTAGGTCTTAGTATTTTACACAATTCTTGAAGTGTAACATGTGCATCAGTTATTTATTGTTCTTAGCATTTTACACAATTCATGAAGCATAACATGTGCATCAGTTATTTATTGTTTGAGGGCATTGAGGCTCTATATTTACCATTCAAATGCTATGTAATTTTTTTTGTTCACTTTCTTCAAAACTGTACTTACATGTCCCTGAGACGATCCTGGAGCATGAATGGGAGTAGCTCATGTTGCCTTTTACTCTTAAGATGTACCATATTTCTCAATTTTGCACCTACTTTTTGATATTGTTCTCTTCCTAAACACTTGTAAAATGGCTCTGACACTTTCCAAGCAGGAATGAACAGCTTATGTCCCTCTAGTCTTATATCTTTACTGTACTTATCAATTTTGTGCAGATTCTTATCTTGAAACCGCAGAATCAAAGATTTTTTATAGCATTGTTGTAACTAAATACATATGCAGGGATGAGCTCACTTCGGTTTTGGAGGCTTTTATCTGGGCCATGCATCTGGGAATTGAAGGATGGTCAAGATGGTGCTGTGGATATGCTGGCTGGTTGTGCCATACTATTTATCAGAAAATAGTAATCTGTTAAGCGTATTTAAGCAGACACTTTCTATAACACTAGTGTGTAAGAGACATACTGTTGTGCCGGGAGAGTAGTCATTACCAATTGTGGTGGCTTTGTCTAGCAATAATTTGTCAGAGACACATTCTTGTTGTGCTGGGAGAATCGCCGCTTGTTGTTGTACTTAATCTGCTCAATAAGTTATGCCCTAGGGCATTTGGCCTGCTGTATGCTTTCTTTTTCCTTGGGCTGGTTGCCCACTGAGCCGTCTGCTGATTCAACATCCTGAAACAGCTAGTAGTTGTGTGTAGTCCAGTCTGTAATGTTAGGCTTTACTTTTGTTGTGGTCGTCTTACTTTTGTTATGATCTTACCCCGTTCTACATCTATCATACCTTTCAACAAAAGGGTAAAACCTTCCAGTGAATGGCACCTAGCTGTTAAGTGTTACAGGGTTGCATCACAGATACAGCTGACCATGTGTGCAGCTGAGGGATTCTTATTGCTTGCAGGGATTTGAGGAATTCAGTGGGACAAAAATGCAGCATAGGGGTTGCCTGATGATTGGGGTGCAGATGATTTTTTTCACTGGAGGTCAAGATTTCTGAGCTTAAGAAGGAATGCATTATCTTTGAAGAACAAGAGTTAAAACTAGACAAACAAAAATCAACAGGGAACCAATATGGTAAGGCATGCAGATGTTTTTTGTGTGTAAATTGCTTCAAACCTGTAATTACATGTCCCTGAGACTCTCCTGAAGCATGAGTGAGAGCAGCTCATGTGCCACTTACTCTCAAGCTATACGCAGTGATAAGCTCACTTCGCTTTTGGAGTCTCTTATTCGGGCCATGCATCTGATGCCTTTGAGGAGAATTGGAGGATGGTATAATGTGTCAAGTGTGTGTAGTGATGATCTATTTAGCGTTACGATCTTCTGAAATTTTCTCTTTTGTATACTCACTAATTACATAAATTAATTAGATCTCGTTTTTGAGCGTTGCCGTTGCCCTTTTTATGCTATAACCTCACCGACTTCGCTTCACATCCTTACCTCGAGCTTTCCTCATCATCTCCCTTGATGGTTCCCGTCCCTAACTAAAGCGGAGACTTAGCTAAGCATGGCATGCTCTGAACAAGGTCACTTTCTATAGCACTAATATGTAGGAGACATGTTGTTGTTTGTACTGGGAGATTGACCAATTGTGGTGACTTTGTCTAGCAATAATATGTTAGGTGTTACT